CCGGAAGCGGCTGGTACGGGGGCCAGACCGGGGCTGGGACGTGACGCGGCAGGACAGGCTGAGTTCCCGAGACGCCCCATCGTTTGCCGCTGTGCGTCCGCCCCTAGCGCCCTCAGCCCAGACCCTGGAGCTGGCCAGGCTTTTGGAAGCTGAACGTGGCTTCCCAGATCAGGGACCTTCGGAAGAGAAATGGGAGGCCAGAGGGATTGGGGATGGGGTGACAACGCACCAATGAGGAAGCTAAAAATGTTGGGCGCGACAGTCTTGTTTCCAGGCTGCGGCTCAGGTGGGAGCCACCACCCACCCACCGCCCAGGCACCCCAAACAGGCGGAAAGGCCACCCCACGCCGCTGTCTGAAGCTGCAGCTCCCAGGCCGGCGCGGCCCTGCCCTGGAACCCCTTATCCTTCCTTTCCACTTCTCCAGACGTGCACACCTGGCCCCCCTGAGCTGAGGCAGCACAGCAAGGTGGCTGCTGCCCCGCATCTCCTGCGGGCTGGGGTGACCTGAGACCTCCAAGCCAGGATAGGGCTGGGTCTGCGTGAGCCCAGCAAGCCCCCACCAGGGCCAGGCTTCTGTGCGTCCTCTGCAGGGTGCGAGCACTCGCCTGGCCTGTGTCCTTGTGCAGAGCCCCAGGGAGATGCAGGCAGAGCAGCCCGGGCCACCGGCATGGAGGGAAGCTGGGGTCCGACTTCCTGCCTCTCTGGCCTCAGGTACAGCAGTGATCTCCCTGCCTTGGTGTCCTCAAGCCTGGGCTGTAAAGCGGTCTCTTTCACGTGGGAGTGGAAGGTTCTATGGAAGAGCCCGGCACCCACGAGGCCCGGCAAGTCGCAGGTCAGCTCCCAGCACGGGAGTCCCCAGCAGCCCATGAGAGGCGTTGCTGTGCAGTGTGCACACAGGGAGGGGAGGTCGCTGGCAGGGGATGGACCGCCTGCCCCGAGGGACTGGCACAGCGGAAACACTGGGTCAGGGGCACCACGGCCTCCCGCTGCCAGACCTCCATCCCAGCCCCTCTCCAGAGCCCCAGGCCTGGGACTTCCTCCACCAACTGGGGTTTCGCCTCCTCCCTCAGGACGGAGCCCCCGGACGCCAGGCTCCTGGCCCAGAGGAGGAACCACCTGCCGGAGCGCAGCCTGCAGTCCGGGCTTTCAGTGTGGGAATGCCCCTGCCTGAGCCCAGCGAGCAGGAGGGCGAGAGCGTGAAGGCCGGCCAGGAGCCGCACCCCGAGCAGGCCACAGACATCGTCCCCGCAGCCCCCCGGAAGCCCAGGAAGTTCTCCAAGCTGGTCCTGCTGACCGCCTCCCCTCAGGATGAGGGCGGGGTGGGCTCCAAGTGCAAAGGTGTACCCTGCGTCATGTCCCTGGAGATGTCCAGCCCCACTGCTCTTGCCAGCCCCCTCCAGATCCTGGCAGCTGAAGAGCAGGAAGGAACAGTCCAGCGAGGCCCTGGGGCCCCAGAGCAGAAATGCAGCGAGCTGGACACAGGTGAGGCGTCTGGACCTCTGCTCCTGGCCCAAACACTGTGGTGGGCCTGGTGCTCAGACTCGGCCCCGTGCACACCCCTTCCAGCAGGGCCACCTGGCTATATGGTCCCTCCTCCAGCTGGTCTCCTGGCCTCCAGTCCCCACACTTGCAGGCTGGGCTGGATCACGCCATCACCCCACATACCTATCCCTCCCAGGTGCTCCCTGAGCCCGTGGGAACCACAGTGATGCGCGAAGCCTTTACTCCCTAAAACCCCCACTCACTCACACAAGCCAGCCCCCCCGGGCCAGCCGGGGGGGGGGCCCCCCCTGCCGCAGGGCCCCTGTGGCTCTGCTCTCCCCCTAGCCTCCAGCCTCTGGCCTCACCTCCACTAATCCGCCCCCCCTTACCCCCAGCGACCCCCAAGCCCCTGGAGTTCCTGAGGACGCCATTCGGGGGCCGCCTCCTAGCACACGAGTCCTTCCTGTACAAGCAGGAGAAGGCGGTGGGGGACAAGGTGTACTGGAAGTGCCGTCAGCACGCCGAAATGGGCTGCCGCGGCCGGGCCACCACCCGTGGCCCACGGGCCACAGTGATGCGCAGCCACTGCCACCAGCCTGATGAGGAGGGCCTGGCGGCCCGGCACCAGTGCGAAAAGCTGCCCATCCCATCCCTGCCAGACGACATGGGGGCTCCCCGAGTTCCTGAGGGCCCAGGAGGCCGCCTGGGGGAGCCACTGGAGGGGAGCGGCCTATGGCTGTGTCCCGGGGAACCGGAGCCCACCCCTGAGCTGGTGCTGAACACGCCAGCCCCCAGCCCTGGCCCAGAGGGGGACCAGGGCCCCCAGAGCCTGTCACTCCTGAGCCTGCCCCCTAAGAAACGGCCAGCGCTGGGGCTAGGTGAGTACCCCTCCCCACCCTGGGGTGCCAGGTGAGTAGCCCTCCTCCCCACCATGGGGTGCTGGGTGAGTAGCCCTCCTCCCCACCCGGGGGGGGCTGGGTGAGTACCCCTTCTTCCCACTCCGGTGCAGCTGAACCCAGGCCACCTGCTCTGCCCAGAGGACTCTGGAGACCCACATGTTTTTTCTTTTTTCAAAATTATTTATTTATTTATTTATTTATTTATATTTATTTTTTAGAGGTTTTTGCTATAGGGTGTGAGCGCTCGCCAGACAGACAGAGAGAGACATAGAGACAGAAAGCGAGAAATCACCCCCCAG